ACTTACACTGTAATAAGCTGTGAGCTTTACTGAAGAAGTGACAGTGAGCCCTAGGTATGTATACTGTTTATTAATTATATACATTTTAGTTTTATGTAGATTTATTCTCTCTCTATCTCTGAATCTGTGTTGAAAAGATAAATAAGTTTAATCCATGCCCTTATACTGCCCACTCTTCCTCTCTTTCTCACTTTCTTTTTATTTCACTTTTATCACTTTAATGAGCTCATGTCTCTGTGTGACTGAAGCCTGTGCATCCTGATACTCTCGTTGTTGTTGTTCTTCAACCTTTACTTTTAATTGCTTGCTTATTAGTTCATTTTGCATATGCTCACTATTTTTCACCCATTGTCACATTTTTTGTTGTCATTAAAGCTTCATTATTAGCTGTGAGGAACAATGTGAGGAAGCCAAGTGAGACAAGTAGAGTTTATAAAAGTTTATTTACATTTACATTTACATAAAAGAAACAGAATACAGATTTGTGGCATTGTATCCATTTTCTTAACAGAAGATTTGATGTTGGCTTGACACCACAGTAACCTAGTAGAAATATAAAGAAAAAGGACACTCAGCAATGAGTCCAGAGTTCTGTACATCCAGGAGTAAAATTTATAATTTATTTGCACTGATTCATGATTCAATGTTAAACTATACCTGTAGATTACCTAAAACATTAAATCAAGATTAAAAAAGGATTGCATGAGGATATATTGATTTGTTCAAGCATGGTTCATGGTTTTCTTGAGACCCTGTGGGGTTTATTCTTCATCAGATGTTCCTCCGGACACTTTCAGCACTGTATGAACTGTGGACATGTGCTCAATCCCAGTGGATTCCAGAGTGGCCTCTTCCTCCACCAGCTTGGAGTTGAAGACCATCCGAAAGTCATCATCTTAAAGCAGAAATAAATAGTTTAGTATCTTACACAGTAACCTAGGCTACATTTTTAAGTTTGTTTTTGATTTTGTTAGATGAAAAGATGGCTGAACTAAAAGGTTAACAGTAACACTAACAGTTACAAGACTGACAAAGATGTTAAAAGAAGCAGCATTAGACTCTCTAAAGTCACATTGAAACAACTGAGGGTGAAAGGCAGGCAAACCTGGACAAACCTGGGTCCGCCCACTTGTACTGCACAATCCTAGAACATAGGCTGTATTGTCTTTTAATTTAATCTTTATTATTTAAAAGTAACATTCAAATACAGAATAAAGACTAAGATTCCATTTCCAAGCAATAATTATTATATTACTTTCATGTAGGCTAGTCAGTTTCCAGCTGTGAATGCATTTATCAGTTAATTTTATAGCTGCAAAAAGACCAAGAACTTAGAAAATAATTTTTCATTTTCGATTTCAGCAATATGCCTCTGTCGGTTGTATTAAATTATAACTTTCATTAAACATTTTATTAAAACATTCATGGGTAGGCCTACATAACAACATTGAAAGAGCGTCATGAACAAGAAGTGCTAGCCCCCACAACACCTGTTCTTTCTGTTTTAAATACTTGAAAGGCCCATCCAAAATTAATATCCTGGCACCGTGCCTGGGTAAAGGTTGAACCAAATTTGATAGAAATTTACCCAGAAGTCTTTACACTGCAGAATCACAAAAATTGAAGAACTCCCAATAGCCTACTCAATAGCCTACTCACACACACAGTTTTTAATTTAAACTTCAGATGTCCAAACAGACAACTGGGACAAAAACAATCTCCTTAAGGATGTAAAGGAAAGAGTACACTTACGACTTATCCACAGCTCTTTAATTTTCTCTTTAAACTGCTGTCCAGTGATGTCCTTCAGCTGATCTTTAGTGTTGCACAGATCCATGATCTTTTCTTTTCCCAAGGGTAGATGAACGTTGACTTGGATACACATTTTGGAGCTTGTTCAGTGAGTTCTTCAGATCTGTCTGATCAGAAAGTGAAACGGTTGGTACATAAATAGGCTATGTCATATCAGATATTTGTTTTTTTTTTACCTGCGTCACAAACCAAATCACATGACTCCTTGGAAAACCCCCCATAAACCTGTTGTTTTGTTTGAGTAAGTAGCCTAGATTTTACATTTAGTAAAGATGAGCAGCAATGATCCTGGTGAGATTGAATGCTCAGCTGTGCACAGCTAACAAAAAAAAGTCTTATAGATTTGCTGGCGTGTTTCGAGGGAATGGAAAGGTCCGGTCCCGTCTCCAGACCGCTGCTGAAACGATGGCCCTGCATTAATCAGCAAACTTAGAAACACTGAAAAACTCTCCAGGAGATTGTCTATTAGAAGGTGAAGGAGGCACGCTTGCCCTCCATCCGTGCCTGTCCCACCCTGTCGGTTTGCTGCATCGAGCATGACAAAGCTCAATGTAAACCATCATGTCGCGGGTGTAAGGTGAAGTTTCTCTGTTTTGTGTGCCCTGAAGCGTCACTGGAGTGTGCCGAAAACCCATACTGGTCTGTGCCTTGCACTTGGTGTAGCACCTAGACAGACCTCATACCTGTGTGGCAGGAGGTGAAAATATTCTGTTGATTTAACACTGTGATCTCCTTTTTCTTATTACGCCGGATTCATCAGTAACTTAACTCACACCACCCCCCCCCCTGTTTTAATAACACTAAAGATCTTTTTTGTACTTGTTACTTTGATTTGGAACATATCTTCCACTAACATGGAGAATTACCTCCTTCTCTCCACAATTGAAACATTAAGTCAAAACCATTTCTACTTCAAACTCACTGTTTTTATTCTTATTTTTGCTATCTTTG